CGCGGTCGTCAACTTTCCGGATCTTTTTGCCGTAAGTCTCTAGGGGAGGTGAAGGAGCGGAGGGGCGCCTAATCAGTGACGTGCCTCTGTTATTGATCATATCATTTACACATGCACAAACAGCTGTTAAATACAGAAAATGCTGACTGGAAATAATTTTCCCCTCATCGCTTTGGCGCCCCCTCTAGCGCGGCGCCCCTATGCGCTGCATATAGTGCATACCCACTTTTTGCGCCACTGGCTGTGTCCTCAGAAGGTGCCATGATCAGAGGTTTAAGTTAAGCATATAAGCACACGTCAAACCTTATTTAACTGAGTGCAGAATTCTAAAGCTCAAATTGTATTAAATCTCGTCCAGTAAGGAAATAGTTCATTTTGAAAAATTAGCATATTTGCTTTCTTTGCCGAGAAAGAGGAGAAGTTAATTAGATGGTTGATACCAATTTTGCGTCTGTATGGTGAAGCTACTACCACAAGAAGGTTAGCCCAGCTTAGCACCAATACAAGATACTGCTAGCCTTGCTTGGTCCAAAGTCAACAAACTCAGCACGACTAAAGGCTATAAAATTAAAGGTTACTTAAAAGAAGCTATACATGTCTGTAGAGCTGATGGGAACGGCAGACTTCAATGAAAATTTTGTGTGGATTTCTCCCTGCATGCAATAATTGTATTTACCTATACAGAATCCAACGCAGATTGCAACATCAGCAATGGCATAAACTGTACCATATACTGGCACATATCTCAGGTCCACCAAGTAAGCCATAAGAGGCATAAGTGAGGAGTCCACGATGCCTAGTACAAACAAGATAATGATAATCACTGATTATTTCAAACAAAAAATAATTTATTAGTTTAACACTGAATATTAGATATGACTTACCAATTGAAAAGCCAACAAATGCATTCTGAACAAGCAGATGATAGATGTTCTTGGAAAATCCAAACTGAAAATAAAAAAATACATTTACAGTGTCATGGATTGAAGCCTGACAAAATCATGGGCAAATGTGTATACAGTCACCATTCACATTTGGCTTTTTTCATTTCAATGCATCTATTTTTTTGTATGTGTATAAATTTGTGTCATGCAGTCCGATGATCTAGAATAGGAATACAAATATTTATTGTATTAATTTTCCCAGTTTTTACCAACTTTTTTGAAAAGCTTGCATGAGCAAGTCAAACCGAGGGCAGTACTTTTGAGCATAGATTCTCATGCCCGAACCTGATTGGACGTGACTTTAGACCAGACATTGTGCTAGACTTTTTCGTCGCCGGTCATTTTGACGGACAGGGTCATAAAAATCCGATCATAATCTATTTTTATTTTCTATTTGAATTTTCATTTTTAAATAATAATGAAGATATTCAAAGACATTTAGTTTTCATTAGTTCGTTTTTAATAAATCCAACAAGCAAGTTATAAAGTGTGCATTAATAAGGACATGAACGAAAAGATGAACAGACATCCACACACCCGTGCCATTAGGCTTCGCCCTGGACACACCGGACGGCACTAACGCGTCCGGTGTGTCCAGGGCATTATGTAGCCTAGTTATGCCTGTAGGCTCGGTGACACAAAATTAAAATTGTAATGAAGTGATTAGGGTATTGAAAAATGTGTTCGGTTATGCACTGTTGTGTTATTTTAAATTATAAACACGGTATTTTCTCCTCACGTTCCACAGTGCGTGCTGTTGTTATTTTATTTTGAAAATTGGCCGGATTCTCTCGTCTTTTCTGTGTCCGACTTCCTGTTTGGTACGATCCGCTCTATCCAGCTTGACAGAAGCGCTCGCGGCTCATGTGAAAAATAGACCAGACGCAGAACTGAAGCGCTGCCTCCACGGGCGCTCCACTCTGCTCAGCGGCCTGTGTGGACAGTCAGATACGTTAACATGGGCGCCGATTGAAAACTGCCTCCGCTGCTGGGCGCTGTGCTTCGGTTCCGCGTTCGGTGTGTCCAGGGCGTATGTCAACAACGCTACATGAAGCAGATGAATGACTTTTTCTCTGCAGTGTGAAAACACTAGTAGGCAGGGGTGGTAATTGCAACCGGTCAAAATGGCCGACGGCCTTCATTTTCCAGTCATTGTTGTAAAAACGGTCAATGACCGAGAATATCCGGTTAACGCGACCTCTGCTTTAGACTGTATAAAATTAATTGATGGTGACCATTATGTCACCCACTGGTTTGTTGACACCCGTTTTGAAGCCTCAAGTTTGGCATTTTGGCCGTTGCCATCTTGGATTCTTGGAGCCAAGGGTGGATCTGACTCATAGACTGTGGTGATACCTTGCAGATAACCTGTTACTCAAAGTAGCCCCACTTTTAATTATGCATAACCTTAAGTTTCACTGAATTTTTATTATAAAATACAGAGCAAGGCTGTTATTCCGTTTGAACCCTGTGAACTTTTCATATGTCGACTGTAAGTAAGAAGCACATACAGAGTAGGCTACTATTTTTATATCCTTACTAGTGAAATGTAAATGTGCTGTTGCCTATACAATCGATCAATCAATTAATCATTTATTAGTCACGTGGAAATTATAAAAGGTACAACTCCTATCAGCTCCTTTACCTTGTGCACTGTAATTTTGTCCATTTTTGCATCTTCTTACATTGTTGGCTGCTGCTTCATAATTGTCTATGTTTCCGGATGGTTCTAGTGATCCATGGCTTCTGGTTGTGAAATTATTTAAATGTCCACTAATCTCAGTCTCAACACGATGGCTGTATGGTATCTCTTCCTGAACAGCAGCATCGCAGTGAAGCCGTCTCTGCACAGTTATCCACAGCAGGACCAGGAGCCCCTCCCACCGACAAACCAGTTCTTAAGCACATTCTTTCTACCTTTCTCTCACCAGAGTCTTCTGCTCTGTCAGATAGCCATGTAGAAAAAGGTTCACCTGGTTGAATGGCACTCTTCAGGATTTAGCTTAGTTTTGGCGAATCAAAGGATACTACAGTTACTTATATCCTGTTGGATAGTGATGTGTCATGGAGGTACAATGGATAGCAGGATGCTAGTTCAGATGTTTACATTTGAAAACATTGACCTGGATGGCTAACAGCTAGTTAGCTAGAAGTTAGCATAAGGAGAATTTACAGACTAGTGAGTTGATTTCCTCATCCTGATGAGTGACTGAGTCAAACGCCACCATCTTCCAAAACCAACCACAAATAACACCAGCACGACTTGTGTAGACGTAAGAGCCAAAATTTAGCACAAGTTTAGTGAAGCTGACAGAGAGACATCAGGAAGGGTCCGCACTTGACCTCACTTATTACCTTGTAGCTACCGGTAGGTGATATTTTAATGTTATTACAACATATTCACACTGTATTGGGAGACTGTAATCCAACTTGTTAACATTTACAATATTTACTTAATCTATGATACTTACTGAAATCGTGGTTATTCCAGCTACGACCATTCCAACACAAGCACATAGCCAACTGTGAGAAGAGATTAACAACATTGTGTTAACAGTATATATGGTAGCACTAGTATATTTGGTACCAAAACAACAAAGATGCTTAAACAGCTGGTTATTTTACTCTCAGACTCAGATCGACATACCTTACACTGTGTTTTTGTGACAGGTGACCAAAGATGTTGGATGCAATGAGGTAGGATAAGCTGTCTGGCAAGAAGACTGTGCCTGATGCAAAAACACCATGGAATAAGAAAAAATAGTTTACTTAGCTTTTTCATAGCAAACATTTTCAATGGAAATTAACTTACTAATACATGAAAATGTAATGTACAGTCAGGTCCATAATTATTTGGACAATGATACAGTTGTTGTCATTTTGGCTCTGTACACCACCACAATGGGTTTTAAATGAAACAATGAATACCTGCTTAAAGTGCAGACTCTCAGCTTTCATTGACAACCATATAAAAGGATGAATTCTGAAGTGTTTGGGGCTACATTATCTGCTCAGATTCAACCAAATGCTTCAAAACTCATTGGACGATGCTTCACAGTGCAGATGGACATTGACCTGAAGCATACTGCAAAAGCAACCAAAGACATTTTTAAGGCAAATAAGTGGGATGTTCTGCAATAGCCAAGTCATATCATCTGACCTGAATCCAACTGAGCATGCGTTTCTCTTGCTGAAGCCAAAACTGAGGGCAAAACACCCAAAACACAAGCAGGAGTGCAGACGGCTACAGTAAAGGGCTGGCAGAGCATCACCAGGGAAGAAACCCAGCATCTGATGATGTCTATGTGTCCAACACTTGAGGCAGTCATTGACTGTAAAGGATTTGCAACCAAGTATTAAAACTGACTGTTTAATTGATGATTATGTTAGTTTGTCCAAATACTTATGAGCCCTTAAAGTTGGGGGACTGTGTGAAGAAATGGTTGTCATTCCTACACGGTTCATACTACATTTTTGAAAAAAGCCTTAAATGAAAGCTGAGAGTCTGCACTTTAAGCAGGAATTCATTGTTTCATTAAAAACCCATTGTGGTGGTGTACAGAGCCAAAATGATGACAACTGTATCATTGTCCAAATAATTATGGACCTGACTGTATGTTTAAATGACTGTAGCTGCTCTGCAGCTGAAGATTATCTCAGATTCTTGGTCAAAAGCTTCAGCTATCACCCAGAGAAACTTTCTCTCTCTGGTAAACTGCCATGAAGAGCTATGTGTTCATGACTCTAAAACAGGGGTGTCAAGTGTACCGCCTGCAGGCCAGACCCAGCCTGCCAGTGGATCTCATCTGGGCCTTCGGATGACTGTACGATAGAGATGATCATACCTATGATCATACCTATCATCAGCCATCCACATTATATCATAATATTGTTCCAATCATTTCTTCAGTACTTTGTGTAATAGTTACTTATAAAAGGTACCAACACCCATACTCCTTCAACTGTGCTGGAAAATACAGCTGATCTCAAGAAATTTAACAACCATCACAAAAATGACAATCACCATAAGCCACCATGTTCTGAACAGAGGTATTATAGATGTATTAATAAAAAGTCATATTTGCATTCTGGAGCATATATGCCTGACAGAAAACTTTTAACTACTACTAATGTATATACATATATATATGTGTAGATAGATAGATAGATAGATAGATAGACACCCCTGCTTTAGAGCATTTGCAGAATCAGTGTATAGTTCATCAATTTTAAAACTGCACTGAATCACAATGATGTCACGCATACAACTATATTCACTTCCGGGTAGATAACTGGCAATCTTATTTCTTTTTTATCTCTCTTATGGAGATATAACAAATGATTAATTTCTGCCCTCTGCAAATGTATTTTAGCCACCTAAAAAGACCCACATAAAAAAAAATCATCATCAGTTTAAGTGTGCACTATATTTAGAATATTTTCTCTGCATTAACTCACACCTTAAACCAATCGAGGCAGTGGTAGACTTTGTAAAATTTCTTTACTTTGTGAATGGAGCTTCAGTTCCCCATCAGAAATCGCTGTCTGATGCCAAAGTAAAGCAGTGAAGATGTATTCTAAATATAGTGTACACCGAAACCGATATTTATTTATGGGTCTTTTTTTAGGTGGCTAATAACTTACCGGGTGAGGCAGCATTTGCTCAGCGCTGTTTCCTTCATGTATGTTACATGGAAATACATAGTGATTCAGTCTATATGTGTAGACTGTAGAAATAAACACTGAATATTTGTGAGCATGGGCTGTGAGCACTTCAGCATAAGCACAACATAGGTTTGTCTTAAATACCTAGCTGCCATTTGCTGGCACACATGGTCTTCATCATCCAGACAGGAAGGGCTGTCTCTATGGTAGCAATAATCAGAGTTGTAAAACATATGGCTCCTGAAAAGCAAAGTCAGTATTATTTTATTATACAATTCCACAGAGCAGCACAAGTATATGTTACTGCCTGCCTTATTAAATGAATTAAATGAAGATGAATTGTGATGAATGCAAACTGTACTGTATATGCCAGTCCCTCCAGGATTTCGCGGGCTGTTTTTGGGATCGTTGTGGCCTGAAATGCCTGATTTCATGACAGTCTTTCTAAAGTTGTGACGTTGTGATGTTTATAGATTTTTTTTTTTTGCCATGATATGAGGCTCTCTGGGGCTCTCTCTGCCTGGTTACCACAAACTAACGTGGCACAGTTTGGTCTCATCATACTCATAAGATTTTGTTATGTTGAGTTGCAGTGATTGGACAAAATTGCAAGGTTGCACAGATTTCACAGGGATTGGCTGAATTTGCATTACCTGTTGTGATCGCATAATTGCAAAATCCTGGAGGGACTGATAATATGTTAATTGTTGGCCAGTTCAGTTTAAAATACCAGCAGCAATGAGAATATATGGATCCTTGAGGAGAGTCAGCAGTGGAGTCCCTTTTGCCATCTGTAACAAATTACAAGAGAGGAAACACTGAATAATGAAGTTTGTAGTTAATAGCTTGAATTATTATAATTTATATTTTCAGTAATAGTTCATAATTATAATTTTCAGTTCATTTCATCAATATTTATTTTATTTTGCCCTCTTTTTATGTTTCTGTTTTATTTGTTTGTTTGTTTTTATCTTTTTAATAATTGTATATTAATACATTAATTGTAATATAACAAGTTAATGTTAAAGTTTGATGTTTAGGACGCCGTTGGCAACCATTAGTTTCATTTTCCAATAATTGATTGGTAGCAACTTTTTTCTTTTTCTTTTCTTTTTCAGACCTACATATGTGATGAAGAAAGCTGAACAGAATTTTATTTACTTTTTTTTATTAGTGATTTTTTTCAATTTAGTTTTCATTTATTTATCTATTTATATATTTTTAGGGAAAATTAAACAAATAAGTGGTATACGGACAGTCAATGGGCCTCACTCACCAATTTATTCCAAAGTTTAGTCTTAAATTAGTTAGTAATTAGTAATTAAGAAAGGTCTAGGTCAGACTCATGACATGTTCATAAAGAGCAGAATTTGTTGGCACCTGCGTACTTGTAATGATAATCCCACGGGCCTCTTAAATTAAAATGTACATACCAGTTGATTCTAATTAGCATCAGTAAACGTCTGCAGGGCCATACACACAGATGAAAAGAACAATTACATGAAAATAATAT